TTTAGAACGGTACATATGCGTATGGCATTCCGTTGAAAACAATTGATAGGGTCTCATCGTTCCATCCCCAATCGTGCCACGTGCGCTACATAAAAGGTTTCCCTGTATTCTAATGCTGAAAATATATTCTAATACTTCCTGATAACATAGTCTGTACACCTCGCAGGGGGCATTCTGTACAAAAGGAAATTTTCCCCTTGCTGGTACACGTAAACTCCGGAACACAGATGCAAATCTTTAAAAAATTGATCCAAAAATAATTTTCTTCACGCACACGAAACATTTTAAAACACGAAGTCGCTATCGAAATAAATGAGTTTTTGGACAGTTTCAGTAAATTAATGTATTTGACTTCGGTCGCGTTTTCGAAATTTCTCTTCGAATCTCGAAAATTCTCTGGCTACTTTCCAAGCGCGATCGATGATTTTTTTTCTCTCGCCTCGAAATTCCCTTGCACGTATTAATGGATCTACGTTGTAACGAGCAATTAAATTGTCTTAATTACGACTTTCGATCTGTAAAAGAATGCTCAGATCAGCCGTTCACCGATGTCCGGGTGAATTCAATACCGATCTCCTCGCCTTGAAATTTCTCATCGGCCGGCGACTCTGTTGGTCGGTCACCGAACAATCGGGCTTCTTTTCGACCAGGATTTAATTTATTACGAAACAGCGGGGCAACGGCCGTTACGTGGTTAAATTGCCCTGAACGTGGTCGAACTAGCGATTAATGCGGCTGGCACGACGGTTGCCCAATCGCCGCGGTCTCTCGGGACATAAAACTCACCCGACAATTTCCCTCCACGATATCGCCGCTAATTGACCAACGAGGATGCTGCACGGTACCATTATGAATCCCACACGCGTATAATCGATGCGTTGCCGGGTTCCGGGTGAGCATCTTTTACTTTCACCCGTTACGAGCAACGTGACGCAAACAACATATTTTCGTTCACCGAAAAAGAATCTGTTCGATCGCTCCGGGGGATGGAGATTATCTTCACAATGAGTACACGTTGCTTCCGGGTTTTGAATAGGTGTACAGAGTGTTTGGCCACCCCTGGGAAAACTTTTAAAGGGCAAAATAAGACGAAAGTCAAGAATACCAATTTGTTGATTAAGACTTCGTTAAAAAGTTATTAACAATATTAAATTAAAAAATTTCATGTCATTTTGAAAAAATTATTTTTAGCTGCGGGGGTAAATTACAATCACTTTTGGTGAATACACATAGTCCAGAATTCCTACCCACTTTCGAGAAAAAAATTCCTTACCGAAAATCTAACGTGAGGCTTCCTTGAAATTTCATGCGAATCTTTAAAATGTCATAATTTCTGAACGGATTGGACGATTTCAATGCTTCAAAATGCAAACGACGCGTATTTTAATCTAGAATATGTAGAAATTCCAAAAATATTCGAAAAGTTGTTCCTTGTCCCCGCAAAATGAGAAAAACCCAATAAAAATGGTCCAATTTTCAAACAGCCATAACTCGTACAATTGTGAACGTATCTTATTGAAATTTAGTAGGGAAGTAGAGCTCATGGATACCTACAAAAAAGTATTAAACAAGTTTTTTATACAGCACTAACCAAATTTATTAAAAATGAAAAACGAATTATTAAGAACAATCGACAGAGTTAGTGCCTAATTTTTTCGACGAAAAAAAAATTTCAAATCGTTCTGGAAAAATTATTTTCGGCTGCGGGGGTAAATTACAATTATTTTTGGTGAATAAACATACCCCCAAAATCCTGCGCATTTTCGAGCAAAAAAATTCAAGGTCTAGAGCTTTCTTACATTTTTGTTTTAATTGAGTCTACAAATTTTCGTTAGGATTTAATTTTAAAGACTTTTATGATCATCCTAGGACATTAAACTACTAATCTTGGAGCCATGATTTGATCAAACAAGAAGTGTGTTTGTATTTGTTATGTTGAAAGATAACATCTCTTGAATTTAGTGTCAATTTAAGCGGACTTCTCATCATGGAAGCGTTTTAAATTATTTCCGTAGTACTTTACAGTCGTTCTTCCATCTATTTGATAAATAAATCATCATTTACTATCCTCCTTTCTCTGAGGCAACATCTAACGTTAAAAGCGCAAGTATCTGCATTTAATAAGTGGGGAAGATGTTTGGAAATTTTCTTTACAGTAGCAAGATTTTCTAGGATCTTTGGAAAGAGTATTTGGTCATTTTTATTGGAAACGAAAATGATAATGGACTATAAAGATTCCTTTCAGCAATCTTTATGTCTCTAATTAACGATAGTCACAATTAACGAATCTCCATAACTCGTACACACCCTTTGCGTGCCCTAGAGAGATGAATAGGTCAGAGGTGGATGTGTTTAAACACTTAGATTTAATAATCGATCAAGATTATATCGACGTTTCTCTTAGGTATTGAAATTTAATGTCAGACACATGTACAATTCTTAGCAATTGAATTAGGATCACTTAAAACTTTAGACATTGTTTAGTAAAATTGAAAGACGTGAGTGGACTTTAACAGAAAGGATGAATTTAATTTACAAAGAGCTATATTTTATTTGGAAAAAATTGAATTTGGGTTACAAAGTCTGCATAAAAAATGGCTGAAGAATGAATATTTGCATTTCCCTAGATGTGCCACTTCCACAGGTAATTACGCGATTTCTCGATGAATTGTCTAAACGGAAAGTAGGGAATAGTTGCTTGGGAAATTTTATTAAGAAAATTGGGTCATTTACATTTGCACGTCAAAAACTTGTTAGAAAGGTGTTAGAGGTATGCAAAAAATTTTCATCGTTATGGAAAATTGTCTTATTGATATGATACAAACCTGTATAGTACTTCTAATCAATGTATTTTCCATTAATTTCTATCACTGTTTTGGTATAAGATGGACTCCTAATATAATTGAAGAATTGAAAATTTTAAGATTTGGAGATGAAAACTTATTGACCCATATTTCTGAAGCTCATTAGTACGCATTGATTGAATTTTGAATCATTAAAATCCTTCAATCCGTCCAGAAGTTACGATTTTTTAAACATACGTATGAAATTTCGGGGAAACATTTCTAACCAGAAAATATATTTTCAGTAATGAATTTTTTTCTCGAAAGTGCGCAGAATTTCGAGGGTATGTTTATTAATAAAAAATGATTGTAATTGACCCCTGCAACCGAAAATAATTTTTCCAGAATGATTTGAAACTTTTCAATTTCGCCAAAAAATTTCAGCAACTACTCGAATTTTTTTCTCGAAAGTGCATAAGATTTCGAGGGTATGTCTATTCACCAGAAATGATTGTAATTGACCCCCGTAACTAAATATAATTTTTTTAGTATCATTTGAAATTTTTTAATTTCGTCTAAAAATTTCAGTACCTACTCGAATTTTTTTGTTAAAACTGGGTAGGATTTCGGGGGTATGTGTAATGATAAAAAATGATTGTAATTGACCCCTGTAACTAAATATAATTTTTTTAGTATCATTTGACCTTTTTTAATTTCGTCTAAAAATTTCAGTACCTACTCGAATTTTTTTCTCAAAACTGGGTAGGATTTCGAGGGTGTGTGTATCGACCAAAACTGATTGTAATTGACCCCTGCAACCGAAAGTAATTTTTCTGGAATGATTTGAAATTTTTTAACTTCATTTTGTAATAACTTTTTAACGAAACCTTAATCAAGAAATTGATATTCTTGAATCACCTATCAGAATCACCTGTGTTCAAACGATGGAAACATTTGAATACCCCTAATAGATCACGGCTGCATCCAGAAACGGTCGACCGTAGAAAGAGCGTGCGATCCAGCCATGAATCGTCGCATGTTCCGTTATCAGGTGCAGTTAAAGACAAAGCTGTTCGACAGTTTCGCAAAAAGGGATTCGCGTGGACGCAGGTTCGGCTCGCTGCGTGCACCGTGGCTCGTTAACCTCGCTCACGCGACGTTTCCTCCCGTTCTTCACAGAAAATTGATTCTAATGGCCGATGCGGGATCGAAGAGCGGTCAGTTCGCGGCACGTGAAACTCGAATCGCGGTGAAAATCCCGTTGTATCGCGAAGTTCGTCGAGAAATCGGCGGATGGTGTTTAAAGGAGAGGAAAGAGAATTTAATTATCTCGCGTGACGCGATACAATTGCGGCTATCGCGGTTAGGGGAGTTTCTCGTGCAATACGATCGATTTTCTAGCACTCGTCGTCCCGTTCCCCGCCCCCCATCAACCATCCGAAGGATCGTGATCGTTCACCTATTCGCCTCTGCCCGTTACATCCCGTGAACCCGGGCTTCGTGTTTGTCCTGTTCGTTCTGGCCGGAGGTATGCCTTATCAGGCAATCCGGTGTTTAACAATTTGCTCGGGCTAATTGGAAAAACCGTATCGGCGGAATTAGGAGAGATAAACGAGATTTAAACTGCGAAACAGAAGGAAAATTTGAAAGGGAGGCAATCTTTGTCGCGCAAATAATACGCTGACGTTGCGGTATCGCGGGAGAAGATAATATAATTAAAATATATAACGCGTAGTGACGCAAATTTTGGGTACATAGCGTGAAACGATAGTTGAAACACACCCATCCATCACAGCTGTATAAAGGGGAAAATAACTTTTCCTTTATTCTCTTTGCAAATATATCTTCTCCTTCTCTTCGATCTTCAGTATTGCCTTTCTTTAAAGAGACACTGGTCTTAACTCATTAACCACGGAATACTTTTATTAAAACTTTCATATACGTGATTTTAATCATATAGAAGCTTTACTCAAAATTATCTGCGAAAAAGATACTTTTGAATGCAAAATCTGTAAACAGATAGAAGAGAAATACATATACTTCTCAGTAAAATTCCCGGATATAATCAAAGAATTGTCTCGAAAAGCGGGAATATTCCCTTAAACTTTGGTTATATTGCGTTAAATAATGTTGTACACCTTAAAAGTCTTTAAATGAATTTTGTATGTAATGAATCGGTGACGAGAATAACATATACTTTGGTGTTGCAGCCGAACGATGGGTGCAGCTAGGTGGTGCCAATGGTTGCTCATAGGAATGGTCATCGTCGTCTCTCTATGTCGTGCCACGAGTCAGACAGAGATCTCAGGAGGAAGCATCAGCGAGCCAGAAACAATCTTCAGTCCTGGTTTCGTCGAAACTCAAAAAGACGATGGGAACCAGACCGATCTGGCACTGAGCACGGCTCGCAGACGACGATACGTCCGGTTCCCGACCGGTCCAGCTGGCTACCTCTTCGAGGGTGGCGGTCCTCCGATAGGAAGAAACATCGGTGTCCACCCTGGCGTGCGGTTCCCTTCGTGGCGACAGCACAAGTCACTGTGGAGGAGTCCTGTCTCGGAATACAACAGGCCAGTGATGGGCCATCGAACTCCGCGTCTGATCTTCCGCGACAACGACTTTCCATCCCCGGTGGGTGGCAGTGCACCCTCCTTCTTCCAACAGACCAACCATTTGCCAGATTTCGAGGACGACGCCAGAGGTAACGCGAATGATATTTACAGAAATTCGAGTAAATGAGACCCGGAAGATACGTAGGGCCATTCTTTGGGATGATTTTGATGACAGAGCGGGAGAATGCTGGAAGAACGCGTCGATAAAATTTAATTGTATTTCTTGCGGGGCCTACATTCTTGATTTGCTTGTCGAGAGGAACTTATTTGTTTCGACAAGATAAATGCAGCTGTTTAAGTATTAGGTTGTTGCATATGAAAAGGTTGCTACGCAAATTTCACCTTTATCTTTTGCTTTTCCAACAAAGGTAACCGTCCCCCGGATGACTAAGAAATGATTTACTGTTTCAGATCATCGAAAGCAAACGCTCGACGATTATCCTAGGTTAGAGTCAGGTACGTTCCCCGAAAGCAACCGTTGACCGACGTCCCAGAAAACGGCTTACCGATGATTCGTGGCCCGGTTGAATCTGTCGATAGTCCGTTTCGCCGAGTGACTCCGGTCTTTCTCTCTAACCCAATGGGTGAAACCGATAGCCTGTTACATCGCGCCTTTGGGTTTCGTACTTGTCGGATAATCGTAAATTATAGCCAGCCACTAAGCGCAATATCCTTAGTCAAGTGTCGCAACGATTGCGAGACGCGGTCTCGTTTCCGTCGAGCCGACGATTTCCGTCATCCGCGCTGGCCATATCGTTACGACAGACGTCCACGAGCGTTCTTTCCTGTTGCTTTTACGATTTCGTTCGGCTTTATCGCGACCGTAGACGCCGTGTTTCTTGAAAACCCCGTGCTCCTTTCGTTCCCGCGAATTGCCTAACCCGTTCGCTTGTCCCCTTTCGCTAAGTATTCCGAAGTTAGGCTTAGGCTTGGAGTAATCAGAGACGCTGGTTCATCGAAAACGTATCTCGTCGTGTAACCTTCGAGTGCCATTTTTGGTGTATGTACTTCCGAAAAGGACTCCGATTTTTTTATCCTCTGGATTCTTACTTATTTCGACTGATTACGAGTATGATAGTGAAAATTGATAAAACTGTTTCGATATTAATATACACGCACGAGATTCCCAGTGACCGCGTGGGCGAGCTTCACTTGGGGGTTCCCCTACAGTCGACCAGTACTCTCACGTAAAGCACCACATTTATGACAAAAAACAATAGGAAATAAAATGTGTATTTTGATGAGAGCTACAACTCTTATCTGAACTATTTTTCAAAATTCCCATTATTTACAGAAGTAAATAAAAAAACTGATCTATATGGTTTTTTCATGGCTTCCGCTAAGAAAATAACGCTAATATTCACTATCATATTCGTAATAAGCACATCAAAATACGTAAGAGTCCAGAGTATAAAAAAAATCGGATGTCTTTTTCGGAAGTTTATCCGCCATTTTTGTCGGTGAGATTAAAGTTTAAAGATTAAAGATTAGAAACGAAACTAGACCCATCCGTATCCGCTTCTTTCGTTCCGTGCGATGGAAGGATAGAGAAAAAAAGAAGAACAGTTTGCCCTGTTTTGTGCAGAGTCGCGTCAACAAAACAGACCGCTGTGGAAGGGTGACGATACGTTGTGCGCCGACGGACGAAGCTGCGAATTTTTTCTAATGTGCTGGATGTCCGCTGGCCTATTGGACGGCAGTTGCGGCGGTATTATGTACGCTTGTTGTCAGCGGCGAGAACCGAAAGGTAGCTCTGATTATAACCTGATTGAGGCACCTAGAGATCAGTCTCAGCCGCTTCCGTTGGATACTTACACGGAGACCGCCAATGATGATCGTAAGTCCTTCCTACAGAAGCATGCCATCCGATTGTTGCACTAGCATGATCGTTCCACGCTGCCTACTTGGGGGTGGTTCTAGATTTCTGTTTACTTTCGCCGGATCGCTGACGTCCTGCGTGTGTCTTGTCACTTTTTCGTCTTTACATCTCTCCTTATCTCATCTTCGTATCCTCTTCAATACCTTTCTATCTTTTTAGTTTTAAACAGGATGGAAAATTGTTGTACGGCCAGGAGGTAGTTCTACGTAAAAAAATAAGGACAAAATTTGGTATTTGATTCTTTCGTACGAAGCTTTGTTTTCGAGAAAATTGAATTTAAAGTTTATTACTTCGCAAGTTGGAAATGTCCTCTTTGTTGCATACATGATTGTATACGATGAATTAAGGATAATTGAACGTGTACATACTCTTGTTATAACTTGATAATTTGCAACAAACGAAATGAAATGGACTGTTATACAGTCTGATAAACTATGACTTCTGTCAAGCATTGATCTATCTAGATATTTCCTACAGTATCCTATCGTTAGTAATGTTTATTGTAACCAGTATTTTTTCATTTTCTTTAATAGATAATCTTGAGAATTAATTTTTTTAGCTTCTTAGCGAAAAATCGTCACCCACACGTGGATGACGTGACAGTCAATATATTAAGGATTAATTAAAAGTAACGTGTATAATACGAGTTCGTGCCATATTAATAAAGAAATCTTCAAAAACGATGAAAATTTTTGCATACACTTTAACATTATATATTTACATCTTTACACCTTGACTTCTTCATACGTACACCTATATTTCATCTATACACTTTACCTTTATATTTTATCCCTTAAACCCTTGATATTGTCACTTCCACCTCCCCCGTTACATTCTTCGTATCTTCGACCCGTGAGCCTTTTCTCCAGCGTTCTTCTTGAAATCCTACACTTGCACTTTCCTCAGAATGTCGCAACGTCCTTCACTTTCAAAATTAGTCTCCTTCTCACTTACACTTTCTTCCGCATGTTGTCGAATGTCACTTTCTCTATTCGCACCTTTCAAAGCACGAAAGTACGTACACCAAGCGACTCCTGGCGTTTACGTTCCCCCTCCCTGTCTTCCTACCAGCATGAGCCAGCTTGCATGCGAAGCGATTGTTCCTGTTTCTCTCTTTCCCAATTCCCTCCAATTAGTTTTTCCCGAAGAGAACACTTTTCCCTTGTTTGTCAAACGATCTTGCATGCCGATCGCGATAACAACGATTCTGCATGACTTCGTCGGTTCCCCTGTCACGCGAGTTCCCCTGATTTCGTACCTACTTCCGGTTTCCCTTGCTCGCGAGGAAACAGTCCTAATACTCCGTATCCCTGAGGTTTTCGACGTCCGAGCGTCGTTTTGGCGGGCAAGCAGATCGAGACAGGACTGTTCTAACCGCGATCAGCTTGTAGAATTAACAGAACATTTCTCTCGTTTCGAATCGTAACGCGTTCGAGTTTCATCTTTCCTTCTATAATCTCGCGAACGCTTTACTGAATTACTCCAAGTCTAATTCGGTAATACTTAGTTTCGTAGGGCGGAGTCGTTGGAAAATTGATAACTTTACGATCAATCGGTCGATTCTCGATTAGATACCTTTGAACGTAACAACGTGTACCAGTTTCCGATTGTCGACAATTTACTTTCCGTTACTAACTCAACAAGAAGTGCTCGCAAATGAGAATGCTGCATGGAGTCCTAAAGATTTAACAGGGAGTCTACGTCCTTGTAATTGCAGGCTGCGGTATTCCCGCCTCGAAGCAAACCGCCCAAAGAAGAATCGTCGGCGGCGATGAAGCGGGTTTCGGCAGTTTCCCGTGGCAGGTCAGGCTCGCATTAACAAATCGAAACTGTTCCTTTCGCGTTGCGCCTTTAAAACAGAGAAAATGTTCTGCTTTCTCAGGCGTACATACGGATCGGGTCTAGTCGATGCGGTGGCACGCTCGTCAATCGATTCCACGTCGTCACTGCTGGCCACTGCGTAGCCAAGTGAGTATTAATTATTATATTCTATTCTTTAAAATAATCCCCCCATAGTATATCTTTGATACAAAGTCTGAGAACTTCTTTCAAATTCTTTTTGCCTTGAAAAGATTTAATCACGATGGTTTCTAGTTTTGAGAAAAGGATCCTGTGTCTGGTAAAGAAAGTGGACAGTTAATTTGTATTAGATCTGTGGCGTTAGAAGATTGTATGTATATAGCAACCGAGAGCTTGTGAGAGCGCTTGTGAGAGCGCGACCCCTCTGGTGGCGAGCATGGGAGGCAACGCCACAGATCGTCCCATAAGTTCCTAGTGTTTGTTAGGGTTTATTATGGTCAAAATTAGAAAAACTAAAATCATACAATTATAAATATTTCGTTCCTATTAAATTCACTGCACTGAGGTCTGTACCATAAAATCGTTTTATTGAAAAGGTTAAATGTAAAAAATTAAGAGATCTCTAGCAGGAGTAAGTTTATGAAGCCATTGAAACATTTTTCGTCTTTCAATTCACTTTCCAACGTGAGCTGCCATTTCGCCATCAGATTAACTGTTAGCATGTTTTAACTGAATCAAAGCACTTTATAACGTTATTACCTGCTAAGACCAAGGTATAGGGAAATCCCCAAATTTCGTACTAGCGTTATATCTGACACAAGATTTAGATGGGGAACCACCGAATCAGAAGGAACAAACGAACAAAAATAACATTTATATTTCCCAATTTATAACTATGAAATTAGTTTAATCACATTGTCGCTGGATGGACTATACCACGCGTTGCTTGAAATTATAAAGGACTGCTAGAAAAATCACTCAAGGGACGGAAATTACAGCTAATGAAAGAACTGCACAACACATTCAATCACAGAGCAAACAAATTAAACGCAAAGAATTCAAACAAAAACTTTCTCAACTAAGTAACATCAGGAAACCTATTTAAAGTTTATACGAGATCATGTTTTATCAATAAAAACGAAGAAGCGCGATATTTTAGTGCTTCCAGGACTTAATTTAATTTACTTGTTTCAGAGAGCATATCCAATACGTAGGGTGTGTAAAATGTACATATATGTATATGTATTCATTTCGTTCAAAAAATTTAAAAATATCAAGCGTTTCATCGTATTGTTCTGTAGTAGCGGTAATTTGCCATTTAAGGGAGCAGTCTCATACGAGACCTCAAAAAAAAAATCAATTTTTTTTTAATTTCAGTTTTTGAAAGTATATATATTATATTTAAGAATGTACTGTTAAATTTTGAGAGTTAAATGTTTTTGATTTAGTCAACCTTGAGAGCTGCAATCACTCACGCCAGTGTTTAAACACATGTTTACTGCGAGCTTAATAAAAACATGAAAAGTCAATAAAAATAATTGAAAAATTTACTTTGTATTCTCAAAAGATAGTTAAGTAAATTGGGAAAATAAATTATAGCGCTAGATGTTACATTTAGTTAAAAAAAATTAATGAAGATAGTTAAATATTGCAACCAAATTTTAAACCTGAGACTGCCTCCCTAATCAATTTTTTTTAAATTACAGTTTTTGAAAGAATATATGTTATATTTAAGACTGTATTGTTCAATTTTTGGAGATAAATGTTTTTGATTTTTTTTATTTAGTCAACCTTGAGAGCTGCAATCACCCACGCCAGTGGTTAAGCACATGTTTACTGCGGGCGTAATAAAAACATGAAAAATCAATAAAAATTATTGAAAAATTTGCTTTGTATTCCCAAAGGATAGATAAGTAAATTGGGAAAATAAATTATAGCGCTAGATGTTACATTTAGTTAAAAAAAATTAATAAAGATGGTTAAATTTGGAACCAAATTTTACACCTGAGACTGTCTCCTTAATTTTAACGCGTTTTTACGATGGAATCGATTAAAAATTTGTTCAATTTGCATACCCAGAGCATCGGCTCGTCAAGTCCAAGTGACCCTCGGTGATTACGTGGTGAATTCAGCCAGCGAAACCTTGCCAGCTTACACTTTCGGCGTCAGGGAGATCCGTGTCCATCCTTACTTCAAGTTCACTCCTCAGGCTGACAGGTATCATCGATCGTCGACGGTCGGACTCGACGTTCGAAACGATTTGTCGAACGTATGTTTGATATTGTTCAGGTTCGACGTGGCTGTTCTTCGACTGGATCGACCGGTTCATTATATGCCTCACATAGCGCCGATTTGCCTGCCTGAGAAGAACGATGACTTCCTGGGTCAATACGGCTGGGCTGCAGGATGGGGCGCGCTGCAGGCTGGTAAATACGAAGTCGATTCGTTTGTAAGGCTAATCGTTTGGTGGGTAATCGTGCATTAAACCTTTTCGATTGGACAGGTTCGAGGCTGCGCCCGAAGACGCTTCAAGCGGTGGACGTACCAGTGATAGACAATCGAGTCTGCGAAAGGTGGCATCGGTCCAACGGCATTAACGTCGTAATTTATGACGAGATGATGTGCGCCGGATATCGCAGTGGCGGTAAAGACTCCTGTCAAGTAAGTGTCCAGTAAAATTTAAAAAATTGTAATTATCGAGTCTGACTCAGGAACACGCTGATGGGTTGTTTATCTAATGGTTCGACCTGTGATCGATCGTAGATAAATATCTGGAGTTTTGCAATCTTTCACACGAAAATTTTACATATTTAAAATCTCCCATTAAAATTTTATATGCCGGATAAGTGGATTATATCTACATATGAAGTGATAAAAATGAGGAATATAATCACAGATCTCTGGTCACACATTATACTTTCGGTAAAGAATTTTTTTCTCGAAAGTGGGTAGGATTTCGAGGGTATGTCTATTGACCAAAAATGATTGTAATTGACCCTTGCAATTGAAAATAATTTTTCCAGAATGATTCGGAACTTTTTAATTTCCTACGAATATTTTGTTCTTCACATTTTCTTCTATTAGAAAATATGTTGGTTTGAAACTTTTTTAACATGAAATGTGATGTTTAAACTTGCCTATATAATTCTTGTGTCATAAACTTATAAGTGTACATAAACATTTTTAATTGCCAAAAAGTTTTTGTTACGAAGCAAGTTAAATTATATACCCACCTATGCCAGGAAAGTACGTAATTCCTGAAATTATAAAGTTTGCAGCTGCATCCAGTCGCATTCTACAAAACCATGCTTAATTAAATTAAAGTCTAATTAAAGGGTTTTTACCCTTTAAGTACGAAGTCATATATATCTATGTATGTTTCTCTTATACAGGGTGGGTCATATAATAGGGACAGGTTGTATCTCGAGTTTGGTAAGGATTTGGCTACCTATTTGGAATTATTAGTTACGATCAAATAAAACATCAAATTAGAGCCACACTTTCGCTAAATAATCTATGTACCATAAAGATAATGTACAAAACTTAAATGCATAATAGTTATCGTACTTTGTTTAAATTTAGTTCGTAACTGTATTTCAAACTCCGAGCTATAAGAAAGTGGAATTAAAAAACCGATCTTTTTGACCACCTACACTAGAATACACCTTCAAATACTTCTTTTTGTGGTTTCTGCAGGGTGACAGCGGCGGACCACTGATGTTGGAGAAAACAGGACGATGGTACCTGATCGGTATCGTGTCAGCAGGATATTCCTGCGCCCAACCGGGTCAACCAGGGATTTATCATCGCGTGGCGAAGACTGTCGATTGGATAACGTACGTCATAAACTCGTAGCGGAATGGATCCAGGGAACGTAGACTGTTTTCTGTACGCTAGGAAGCTTTGCATGAAACAAAGTTTGCGACACGGCACCGGATATAGATCTTCGTGTTCGCGAGTGGTCGTTGAGATGGATCGGACGAAAGTGCTCTGGCCAGTGAATAACAAAAGACTTGGCCGTTCTATCGTTCGAAGGATGTAAATATCGTGGGAACGCGACGTCTACGGAAATGGTTTCGAATTTCGGCAAGAGACGTTTTCTTCGTCGAAACTATCGGCTTCACGTGTCGATCTTAATATATAATACTTGTAACGCGACGAGACGACGCGTTGTACGCACCATTCCGTCTAGGTGAAGCTGCTTTTATCGACCAAACGGAGTTCCATGCGACGCTATAACAAACATCTTCGTTGCCTCGGTTCTCGATTAACCGGCATGGACTGTTTCGACGTGAATATTGTGTACATTAAGTGCGTGTGATATTTGTTTATATTCGCGCTTAATAAATGTTCGATTTCTATTCCACGACTGATCGATGATTTCTAAACAATTTAACAATCATGAATTCAACATTGCGTAAGCCTAAGAATTAACGTTCCTTTCGTTGGGACCAGAGCAGTACTACAATGGGGAAAACAGTTTTACTTGATTCGTTAGAAGCGACGATAGAGATAAACGTTTGTGGAAGTTGTAGTTAATTTTTTTACTTAAAAAATACACATGGTATTTTGTCACTTTTCTTATAGGTACGTTGTTGCATCTTTTTGTTTTTGGGGGGGGTGTAGCTACGCTATTGAACCCTAGTTTCTAACCACCGCAACCTTAACTGGAGAACGGTTCCTACGTCGTACAGAGGGTAGGTTAACTGATCTAAAATGAGTTAATTAACTCAAAATACGAAAGTAAGTATATACATATGTATACAAGGTCATTAAAAATTGCACTTTGCTTTCATAATTTGCAATGGAATACTAAAGCTATTATTATCAATTAAATGTAGCATTATTTGCTGACAGGAGTAAATTTTTAATTATTGACTCACGTTCTATGTACGTAATATGAGACGAAATAATGTATTTACAATTTAACAACCATTGCAAGCAACTTACTGCCAATTTTGTATTGAACCCACTGGTAAGACACTTTGACTTGTTTGCATTCAGGTCGAACGAAAAGTATTCGTGTACAGGATGTTGCATCAGTATAGAAGACAATATGAAGAAAAGAACAACAAAGCTGAACGATTCGATAAAATTGAAGATGTAATCTGTGTGTTGCCACAATGGCTGCTATGTCTAGCGGTTGATGAATAGATCTACTACATTGTTTCTATGCAGGCACATTGCAAACATGTGTGAAAACGATATACGTTGCAAATATAATTGCAATAGTCGATCAGTATCGTAAATTACTAAGAATAATCAATAACGATTAACTAATAACCTATGTTGTTAAAATGGAATGACTGTAGTATAATAATTTACTATAAGAGTAAGTTAATACTAAATCTATCGAGATTTCTTGTATACCGATTCCTATCATAACTGATCAAATGACCTTTCTTTCTTTCTTTTTTTCTTTTAAGAGGCAACATACTTCTAATTTTTGCATTATATGTATAGAAAGTTGTGTGTTTAAAATTTACCCACAATTTTTCTTAAAGCATGCATTTTAGTTCCGGAGATATAACGATTTTTGTTTCAAGTTGATCGCGTGGTCAGTTTCGGAGATATAAGGGTTCAAAGCGTTTGTGTACTTTTCATTGGTGACGTCGCGAGGTCAATGAACTTTCACTATAGAGTAGTGGATACCTCATTCCACTTTCTCACACTATGCCAGATCACACGTACGGGAGCTCGTAGAGTTTCGGAGAGTCGACAAAGACAAACTGACGCATGCCCTCTTTCTCGATTCCCCGAAGCTACGCGAAGTAATTTCGGACCGTCTCGTGGGAGTCGAGAGAGATAGACTCACATTTGCCTTCTCGCTCTTGAACAGCTGAAATCCGACCTCGCGTCAACGGCACACGATTTGGAATCTCGACTGCCCATTTACTAAATTAATTAAATTAATAAATTAACACTGTCGTAATGAAAAAGGAAGAAAGATGGTAGCTGGGTTTAAAAGAACAGAAGATGCTTTAGGTTAAAAACATACTTTTTTATTCGACAACCGCTATATCTCAACGTAAGCATAGCGCCGCAAATGGCAGAACAACACGCTTAAGTATTTAATTTCATTGCGTATATAAGTACACACTTATCTCGTTAATCGTGTTAACAATAAGTATCCGCGACAACGAGCTTCTGCTCGTACGATACGTTGGGATAAACTAGAGCATGGTTATCAGTACCCCATCATCACACCAAGAGGAACCTAGAATCCTGTTTTCGCGACGAACTCGCGTCGTTCTTTGCACGTTTTATTCGTCGAGCATCGTTTCTCGTATTCGATAACGATTCGACGACCGTGTTACAATCGAATGAGACTGGAAGTTGCTGGTCGCGAAAACGGGAACACCATCGGTTTCCTACAGTTCTCTAACTACAAAATTCATCCTGATTCACGTCCACCTATAACAATTTAATCACGTAGGACGCGTATAATTTCCTATTAAGTATACCATCCAAATCGTAGTGCAAAAAGACGGCATCATAGCGCAATAAAATTCTTGGAAGAAGAACGTCTATCTATATAATTCGATCGGCCCGCGCGAAGGGTATACTCCTTCCATAAGAGAATCCCTTCGTCCTAGCGGCAGGACGAGCTAAAATACATCATCTAAAATAAATAAACTAACGATAATACTTTCTCGAGGGTGTGGCACGCTCGAAATACTAATAAAAGGAGGACGAAGAAAGATCGGGTCAAAAGGGACCCCTTTTAGTTGAAGTACGGCGATGCTCGAGAAACGCCTTCAGACTTCGAGCTGTCGTGAACGCCATGGCATTCTAAATGCATCGTGCGAACGATGTTTGGAGACCGTGCCTGGAAAGCCGTCACATCGTTTCTCGTTGAACACTTGTGATTCTTGCCTTCTGAGTGACGCACAGTAGGTAAAAGCGACGAAATTTTTAAACCGAAAATGTTACAGAACCCGAGAAAATGATGTGTATAGATCAAAAAATTTTGTTGGAAAATGTCAAGTTCAACGTAGATTTCCAAATCTGTTGGTTCTACAATGGCAGGATGTCGAGTTCGAGGACACTTTGCGCGTTGGGAGACAGTCCGTCTTCGCTCTTGTGCACCAAAATGTTCTTGAAGTCTCTCAGCTTCTGCGGCTGAAGAGCCATGGCTGTGCTTCTGGGCAGGGTAGCTATTGGGTTTGTGCTGTAGTTCTTGTACGGTTTCTTGTACTGATTGATCCCGTTCTCGGACTCGGAGTTGTGCCTCCTCTTCGTCGCCAGCTCGATCTTCGGCTGCTTGATCGCGGGGTCCTTGTCCTCGAAGCAGGGAACGGTTTGCATCGACACGGTGTTTCTGCGGTCGTTGAAGAGCGACCTGGGGTTCAAGGTTACCTCCGTGGCCGAACCGAAGTGCTTGAAGTTCGCGCAGATGGGGCTGTTCATGAAACTCGTGTCCACGGGACGGCATTGTTCGGAAACTCGTCTCTCTATCTTGATCTCGGTGACGTTCTGGCGGATCAGGATGTCCGGCGTAGCTTCCGGCAGAGGTTCCTGGGAGAGCGGCGGCCACTTTATGTCCCGCGCCATGTCGCGATCGATGGCGAGGAACTTCCGTCTGGACTTGTCTACGTTGTGCCAACGGTACCGTAACTTTTCGAAAATTAGATAGTCGACGAAAAAGTACTCCACCAACAGCGAAATTACGAAGTTCGCGACCCCGTAGCCGACCAAAACGAAACGGAAATTGACGTTACCGGGGAGCACCAGCTCGAACCAATTGGACAGCCACTTAAAGGGGAACGTCGCGAGGTAGATCGAGAAGAGGCTCAAGAAAATAAACGATGTGAGGAGACCGTAATTCGTGAACAGCGACTTCCTGTACGGGTGACCTTTCGAGAACGCCACTGCCAGAATGATGTACTGCATGGAACTGATGATGAAGACTGTGTAATTCTCTGTGCAGCCCACATCGTCCTTGTCGTGGATCGCTGTGGCGTTGAACGGTTCGAACCAGTCCATCTGTCGGAGATGCCAAAGACTGGCGTACTGAAATACGGCCACGATTAAGATCTGAGTCACCAGACTGACGATCGGCGTGGTGCTGATCAAACTGTTCAGAGGAGCGGTCTTGGCCAACGGGCCGTCGTAGGCCTGAGTGCGACCAAAGAAGAAGGCGAAGATCGAAATGATGAAGAGATCGATGTAAAGAAACTCTATGTCCGTTAAGTTAGACTCGATGCCATATAGGAGCATCACGGAGATGAATTGGGTGAGGGAGTAGCTTGCCATGTACTTGAAGATTCCGAAGGACGTAACCAAGGCTGCTCGACCTTCTCGAATCACCGTCAGCACGGAGGAAATATTGGTTTCGCGGCTGGTGAAGGGTGAAGCTACCGATGACTCGGTGTCGGAGAGAGAAAGTCCTGTGTGAGCCGCCTTCAAGGCTCCACAATCGTTCGCACCGTCGCCTACCATAGCTAAAAATCATGTACAATAAGTATCGACTCACTGGGTCGACTGAAAAGAAATTGCGTTTTTTCTCGATACAGTGATTCGCATAAATATTCGGAAATTGCGATGTTCAAGAATTATTTTTTTATTTGAGTATAAATATGTACGTATTCCATTTATTTAATCTAGATAATGGTTTTCAAAGTGTGTGTAGAAAATTCAATACTATAAATGATTTTATCATTTAGTTTTTATAATTTCATATGTAGTTATAGTCCAATTATCCGCCATATTTAATTTTCCATGACTGTCCCAGTCTCGAGTGTGCCGGAAAATCGAAATTTTACTGTAACTTTATTTTAAACGATCAAAGTTTCTGTTTTTCATTAAGAGTTCGTCTCTCTTTTACACGAAAAAACGCAATTACTTACTTTTTAGCCAACTTAATAGTTAGAGATCGCGAATCTAATTATTTACGCTGATTAAACACGTACCGACATAGTATCCTAAAGATTGCAGTTCCTGAACAAGCTGCTGTTTCTGGTCTGGGGACATCCTTGCGAAGATCGCGCCACGAGTGGCCAGTTTAGGGATCAACTCGGGGTAGTATTCTTTGACCAATGCCCACGTTTTACCCGTGAGTGCAAACACGTATTTACTTTTCGAGCATTGCATGCTGAAAGCACAATGTACAGATATTAAAAGTCTATAGTATCTTCAAAAACTAACGAAGATATTGACTTCATAACTAATCTTTTTGTCTACAGCAATTTCTTTTGGCGCGTCCTGAAGATTCTGTTTAATGGGGAGAGTATTATTCTTATAAAACTGAGAAAAATAAAATCGAAATAGGTTAGAATCCTTTTCTAAATACATTTGTAAAATCAATTTCAAATTTTTCATTTTGACTCTAAAACAAATGTTGTTTTTTATAAGAGGTATCTAAGTAAGAAACAGATAATACTACCTTCTATTTCTAGGGAAACACAAAAAAAAATGAAATCAGTATCTTGATTGGTTTCTGAAAAGATTGCTTGCAATGTTTTATTTGGGTCATACTTACTCATCGGACAAATAATTGACGTCGTTTTTGAATTGATTGTTCCTAAATGAACCACTCTCTACTGTTTCCAAGCTGGCTATGCTATTCAAGTCCGTCATCTCGCTGAAATCCCTGTTTCCCAACGGCGAGACTGGAGATGGCTGGCTGTTGCTCTTGGTGAAGTAGATCTGTGGTTTCATTTGATTTTGTTGGTTCGCCGAGACCGCGATGACAGGTGTACCTGACTTCACAATGTCGCAGTCTCTAGCTACTGACAACGCAGTCAACATATTGTCCCCGGTAACCATGACGGTTTTGATACAGGCAGTGTTTAAAGCATTGATGACCGGTTTAGTCTCCGGTTTCAACCTGTTCTCCATGATCACGAATGCCAAGAACCTCAGATCCGATTCGGCGAACTCGCGACTCAGTCGTTGGACTTTGGCATAAGGAAGACGATTTAAGGATTTGTGTGCGAGGGCGATTACACGATAACCTTCCGAGGTATAATTTTGCAATACGGCACCAAAGTCTGGTGGAACTGTAAAAAGAATACATTTCGTTGAGCACTAGATCGAAGAATCGGTCCAAACAAAATCTATTCGTTAAATCGCTTACTGGATTCTGCTTTCGAGAGACTCAGGATCATTTCTGGACTGCCTTTGCAGTAGAGATCGTAATGATTAGCACCCAATGTCCTAGTGATAACGCTCATTCTCTGAAGGGTAGACGTGAACGGAAACTGCCGTACGATACCAATTTCTAAACCCTGTTCGCCCAATTCTGTCGTGGAGCCAGTCAACGTGGTGTCGTGGTTGTTCAAGGAGACGGCGTCCACCACATCGGAAGACATGGAATTCTGTCGACTAGCCGTGATTCTCGAATCATTGGGCAGCTTCTTCAACAATTTCGAACCCTTCGGCGGTCGGACCACGGTCGGGAAAAGCATAGAGAACTTGGACGTATCGGACACATCGGGTTCTTCCAAGGTCCACCCGGTAGATTCGAACATTTTCAGGTCCAGCGGATCCCCCACCGGCTGATTGTCTATTATAGTGATCCCGTGACACGTCACCATACCGATGAGGACATCGTTCAGAGGCAAGGTCGCGATATCTTTCACGTGCATCTGAAACTTTTTATCGAAACTGGGCACCACGCCCCACATGTCGAGGCCGTCTTCGGTCAGCGTTCCAGTTTTGTCGAAGCAAATGCAATCGATCGACCCCGACACGTTGATGGTCCTTGGACTCGTGCAATAAATCTTATTCTTTTCTAATCTACGCTGCGCTACTAGGCGACCAACGGTCATGGCTGCCGGTAGCGCCGGCGGTACCACGATCGTGATCAGGTCCAAAGCTTCCAAAGTGATGTGGTTGCTTTGCACTCCTCTCATGACTTTTGTCACGATTGTGTAAATCACACCGATGCTGGCTATTCCAGCAAGCAGAATAACGAATTTGTACGAGTCTTGTTCGAACTTGAAGTCTACGGGTGGCGGGTACATGATGGATCTCACTAAATCACCTTTGCTCGTATTGAACCCTGTCCTGACGACTACGGCTAGTACCTGTACAGAAATGATCGACCATTTCTGATGTTTCGTATATTCTAAATGTCTATTGGGTTGTTCGGAATGTTCATAGCCAAAATCGGGTAACATTGACGATCTATATGTTTACTTTTAGAAAATAATTATCTCTCAGATGTTGATGTTATACACGCCTTTTTATATGATTTTAAGAATGCAAATTAAGGACACATTTGCAGTCGGTTAACCGGTTGATCGGTTACTTGTTGTAAAAATATAGTTATTTGACACCTCCAATAAGAAATGAAGATTCCTATTATGGTTTTGAATCAGATACAAAATGATTCAAATTTTTCATTATTTTAAATTTATCAATTCGAAGCGTTTCTAGAGCTTTAACTTTAACAAGCTGTAATAACGCTACCTGTGAGAAACGCTACAGATTTTTAAGACGATCCAGTAGAAATAAGAGAGTCGTTTACCTTTTCCGATCCGTAGTATCTCGTCTGAATAACTCGAGTTCCGCAGAAGAGTGTGTGTCTCGCATGTTCCTTGGTATCGTACGTAGTTTCGTTGGATGAAGGAATGGGTGTTTTCGTGACGGGGACTGATTCACCGGTGAGCATGGACTCGTTCAGAATACAGTTTCCGGTTAGAAGAACCGCGTCGCATGGCATCAGACAGCCATGGGACGGAATAACCAAGATATCACCGGGAACCAATCGTTCAGCAGGCACGGTTGCTGTTTGTCCCGTTGCTCGATCTCTCATCACCGTTGCCACGTCGGAAGATTGAACGGTGGACAGCAGATTTTGCTGATTCTGCAAAAGAATCCATTAAGATTTCTAGAATCGCTCAGTAATCACGCAGGAAACGAACGAATGGTAACGTACTCGACGAGTCTGGAAGACTGCCATAATTATTCCGATGCTGGACATAGTCAGGATGACCATAGCGTAGTAGTAGTAATTGTCGGCGAGCCAAAGGAAAAAACTGAACAGTTGGAAGACGTAAAACGGATTAAGGATTTCGAGGCAAAGCAGCGTTAGGATACTCTTCACTGGAATCAGGATTTCGTTGTTCCCATAAACGCAACGTCTGCACAGATAGAGGTGTCCCGTTATCAATGTATCGTAGGCAGGTCAATTCGGTTAACCTATTGACGATTGCATTGAATCTATAATGGACCTCAGCCTTGTTGATTTAATTCAATTAATATCCGCCATTTTAGGTAAATTCTATTTATTAACCTCTTTAACATTATGGCGTGGTTGCATGTTCCCGAGTTATCTTAAATTGATTCAAACTAAACAATTTAGGCTTCGAGTCGGTTACAGCTCTGACCTATTATTTTGCATACTTAATACCGGTTCAAAGAAGCAAAGTTGTGAAATATAGTTTTGCATGATAAATTAAATAAATATGTATGTTTTCAGTAACTTATTTACATACATTTACATATTTTTTATTTTCATATGGGATCGTTAAAAATGGTCGTCTGAGGATTAACCTTTTCTCGTATAGTAACGAGCCTGACTCGTCGTGAAGTCTAATATATTAAAATCAACACATTTTCACGATCATAAAACAAATTTATTCTTTTCATAAATATTACGTGATTTGGATAAAATTTAAACAAAATTAAATGATATACGTTTGAAACATATCAGGGTAATTACCTCATGTGCTGTTCATGATAATTCAGTCCCTGCATCTGATGCAACGTCGACGTCAGCACGTCGATGTCCAAGCCTCGAAGCTTCAGGAACTCGGACCTTTCAGGATCCCAAATATATGGTAGCTTCTTGCAATAGAAAAGAACGATCGATGGAACATCTGGACAAAAGTATAATTATTAGTGACAAAAGAAATTCACCCCTTTGCCTGCATCAATGGATGAGACTCACGATAAAGAAATCGGGCCAAAGGTGAAAACTACGGATTAAAACCGTGGAACGTCGACAGGACCAAACGTAAACAATAAAAATTGGTACAAGTTTGAACGTACAGGGAACTGTAAAATGACTCAACGCGTATAGGAACATAAATCGTAGAGCAAGAGATTAATCGTCAGCTTTTGTTTCCTTCTTACGTTTGAATTGTCCTCCCACCAAATGCAGCGAGACTTTTGGATACTCTTCCTTGATTTCCTTGGTGGTTATCATACTACCATTTTCGGTCCAAGGCTCGTTATCCATCAACGATTCTCCATCGAATGGGTTGTTTTTTCTAATGCACACAGATATTTAGTTTACGACATCGCTTACGAACGGGATTGGCTTGTTTTGTGAAAATTACAAATACTAACAATACATCCTGGGCATTTAGGGTTTTCAATTTCTTTACATAGTAACTTGTATGTTTCCCTTGGAACTTCTCTACGAGCAAGACGGTGTCCGCGTCTTCTAACAGACATTTAGAATGAGTGGCTAATAACATCAGACGTGGAGCCCAGTGGAAAACCAGCCTCAGAAGTCCTGCGGTCACGATGATTAGGAACCAGGTGATAGCGGTTAAGAGTTTGTTTCTCTTGAAGCTGAAAGAAGACAGTGTGATATTGTATTTTCAATTTACTGTTCGTATTCGTTTGTTAAATACATTGGCAGTGGCCATCTGCCATTATGGTTTCAACGCTAGGTAAAACGGAATAATCAACTATACCGCGTATATCGCTCTAAATTGTTGTAAAAATTTTCCGTGCATACAATGGTTGCTTTGGAGCATGTTTTGAAACTTTGTGTTTAACCGTTGAGATGTTATTTTATAATTGTCTTTAGGTATCCACACTTCATCACGCGTTATTATTCGGTACAAAAATGGTTCACAATTGTTTCGTGTTAAATACGAAGCCACGCACTCTTAATCGATCCAATTTGTATCTTTTAGAGTACATTTGGCATGCAGATACCACAGTACTCTAGTATGATCAATGTTTAATCTGTCTGCAAGTTCTTTGGATTTTACATATATCTTCTTCCAGTATACGAAAGTACATAAAATTCGATATTTCATTTGCACTAACCTAATAACAGTTAATGAAAACGATCGTAAAAAATGGGAATTTCAGATGAATATTGCTTTCAATCAAGTGAACTAAATGAAAGAAAAATGGCCAAAATTGATCCATAGAAAAGGTGTCGTTGTCCAGCACAATAACGCTAGATCCCACATGTTGATAAAAACTCGACAAAAATTACATTGTTCAACAAATTTTTAACAATAATTTGTATTGTTTACGATGACGCTATTTTCGTATTTATTTATGCGTGAGATAAGAAATAACAGGGGAAAAATTATTATTTGACCTTGGTTTGAAAAATATGAAATATGATTTATTTAATTCAGGACTTAACTTCAGGAGGTGAAGTAGATTAAAGTAGTTAAATAAAACTACTATAGATAAAGTATTAAAATAAAACACATAAGATTAAAACTAATGACTTTTTAATTTATCACAGATTATAAAATTCTAAAAATACTGCATTTACATCTAGTTTAGTTTCCAGCAATAATCTGTTAAAATAGTAGAGATCAGATAAAAGGCTGTCGAATATAAAATCGAAATAAAAAATGGCTCTTTTTTAGGTCAATATAGGATTGCAAAAATCACCTAGAATGGTTCGTCGCTGAAAAAGATTGGAATTTACTACACAAAAATATTTATTTTCTACATATGTACAGAGTTTGAATATTACCAAAATTTCGCTACGAATTTTTCGAACCACCCAATAGAGTTACTTACCCATAGATTTCCATTTGGTCTTCCTCGCCGGGGTTGATGTAGTCGACACCATGTTTCATGCGGAGGAGGCCGTTCCCTCCGGCATCTGAAACAAGATATCATCGTAATAATTAGACGGAAACATCAACCACTAAGCCGTACGCGAAATTGTCTGGACGGCAATACCAAGCGTTTTATAACTTGTCCCTAATCGTTTACAATTCGCTTCTATTTTAAAACCGAGTGCTTAAGTTCCGTGGAATTAACAGGGTTAGTTGCAACGTCGAGAAACGAAATTTACGCGATTGGTTACTAGAGTTTCAACGAATCATTAGGTAGAAAGTACCCGCGAGGATATTTGAAAATATTGTTAAGGGCAATTCGGTGGAAGAGGGTAACTCTTAGAGCTCTTACCCTCTAGAAGCTCCGTTTTCTGTTCGCGCTGATGTTCAGCGGCGGTGTTGGTACCGCGTGTTCCAAACACGTTGTACGCGTTTCTGGCGAAGTTGAGGTTCAGTTTGCTCGGCGTTGACGGCATGATGACTATACGCGGAAAAAGGAACGAGACTCGAGCCGTAAAATAATAATATTTTCGCTTCTTTTCTACCAGATAATACCGTTTTGCGTCTAGCGGATGATCGTTACAGCGAAAATACTGTTCCTGGTATCACGACAGCGTAATCCCTTTCGACGTTTCTTGCCCTTCGTCCTAATTGATTCTGTTGTTGTCTCACTACTACATGTTACCTCTACTCTTATTAACTACGAGTTATTGTCCATGGGCCCACCGGCGGACCCCTATCGTCTGTTCGATAATCGATCGGAACGACGCAAAGTTCGTCAACTGATTTCAGAGGAAGATTGTGGGGTGTTTGAGCACTCGTGACGAGAGAGAGAAAACGGGAATCTACCCGAGATCGGGTGACGGTTCGGGCGCGGTTCCCTGAGGAAGAGTGCAGGACGAGGCGATCGCTTCTCTAGGCAATAACCCCGTCTGCTACCGGCACCGATGTCCCGCCATTTTTGTGTCCGTCTTCAAAGTTCTCGACGTGGATCTCGACGGGGCGTTTTCTTGCATCTGGCCGGTATGGAGGATCAACGCTTCAGGATATGGTATCCTATCGAGGCTCGAGGGTCGAAGACGTTCCCACGAGAATGGAGTTAGTGCGGCAGGATAACGAGGACGTTGACGATGAAACAGCAGCTGATGCTATCGTTTCGGACCTGCCCCCGAGTTCCTGGATTCGTGTCAGTCGCCAGGATCAGTGAGCTTTCGCCAGCCGATTCGAGGCGTGATGACCGCTCGTTCACCTTCGCTCATACCGCGTCGTACGCACGCCTGCTTGGAATCCCTGCCTGGCGATCTCAGACGATGCAACTGAGGTACCTCGAGATCCCAGCAGTCCGCCAGAGGTGTCTTCGTCTTGCCCTTGTTCCTCCCAGCTGGTCCAAGGTGATCTCGTCCCTTTGCCCCGCAACCAGATTCTACCACCACTCTTGTGTGCTCGTGCCTCCCTTTTGCTGTCTGTTCGCGCGATCTCAAATACATTACGGGTTATGAGGATATCTTGGGTGCCGTCGGATGTCTCGAGCGGCAGAGAAATTCGTAAATACCCGTCACGGGTCGTACAAAACCGCACAGGAATTTCTGTCCGTTCGGCAGATACCTAAGTTATCGACTGTCGCACCACGATCGGGTCGATAAGTGATCTTATCGATCGCGTTCTTACCGGTAGTATAATAAATGTTTTTTTTTATCACGATCGATTAAGTCGCGTTTATAGAAAGATTATTGTATATTTAAGTACACGTCACAGTTTGATTAATCTCGAGATCCTTGAATTAAGTAATAGTCCGTCGATCGAACGGTGTACGAAAAAAAAAAAACGTTTCGCAATTCCACGAATTTCGTGAATCTATATATAGGAACAGATTGCATCAACCACTGAGTTCTTTATTCGAGGATGACCGCACGACTCTAACGAGTATTCCTGCTGATCGATCACTTTTCGCTTCTCACTCACAAGTTTCAAATCACTACTTCGATCTCGTAAATCCGGCTGCTGAATCCTGACGATCGTCCTCGCGGGCTGACAACGCGCAAAACCCTGTTTTGTCGATTGTTCGTTCGGCCAGTTCTTTCAGATGATCCGCTTAAACGATTCACCCTCTTCGGGACTTCTAAGTACAGAGAACACGGTGCAATAGGTCGTTCCTAGCATCTTGCTCATAATGACGATCCCTATACCGTATCCCTCTATCGTTTGTCAGCTCTGTCGCCCGGAAAATTAGAAAACGGAAAATAAAAAATCCCACACCGCCAAGAAATCACTTTGCACACCGGTGCTTCACTTGCGTTTCGCGCATCTGTGACACCGATACGACCGCCGCAAGAGTTTTCTCGCTCGTAGCACCCACTCTGAGTCAGCCTGCGTCGACATGCACCGTGTTTTTATAAGGCGTTCACGTTCGAGAAAATACGACGCCTATCCTCGTGGCATCCTTTCTGCGTTACGGTTCCCAGGTAGCCGCGGTCCTCTCCACGAAATTTCAACGACCGTTCTCCGCAACGTGCTCACGATAAATCTAAGATGGCGCCCAGCCAGCTCATTCCTTTCAAGCTCCGCTGCGAAACGAACGTTGCTTCCGACCGATTCGACGAATTTGCTCGCTCCTCAGACACCGTTTCTCCGACGAGGCTGATGTCCGACCGGTTCGCACAGTCACCGTGATCCACTGACAAGTACGCGACAGCTGGCACAAAGCGTTCGCCCCAATCACCAACGAGATTCCGGACGCGAGTGTATTAAGGGAGTCGTTTGGCATTAGCAGAAGACTTGCGCTTTGGCTGCTTTCGATCCCGGTTCAGGGCCGTAGCCTGCACTGCCGCTCTTCAGGTACGCCACGTATCCCCCTCCGAAACTCGAATCCGCGCCTATTCGATTACGCTTGTGTAAACGTTTTAAATCACGCCAAACCGATACGCGGGAATTCGCTGATCCCCGTGTGAACGTCGATAATCCGTATCAGCGTTTTCTGTACGAGGCTTAAATTACGTTTTCGAATTTCGAAACTGTCGGCCGTCCGGCAGGGAACCGAGGACAGTTCTTGTTATGTAAGACGATCGGGTATGTTGTTATCTCAAATCGGAGCATCGTTCGATGCATCCTAACGCAAATAGAAAGTTGTCGGGACGCGTTGTTTAAGACGAACGATGTATCAATATTTGTGTTCCGCTTTCGGTTGCGTAACTCGAAAACCTCAGGAAGTAACGTTAAGCTCCGTGGCGCCAGATGCGCTGACGTCGTGCCTGAGATACCCCTACCAGCGGGTTTTGCCTCGACCTACGACGGCGTCACCGGCTCGTGACTCATTTCTTCCCACCGAAGTCTCTTCCGTGGCGCTAGTATGGTCCTGTTAATTGCACGGGTCTCGAAATACATGCGGTCCGTTTCGCGGCGATTCCGTCGTTGTCCCCCCCTGAATGGTCGACAGGTGCATACGGTCAGGTTTGCGGCGTCGAAATTCAGGAAAATCGAACGGTTAACCCGCTTCGGCGACCTCGTGATCCCGCTTTCCCGTATCTCCCTTTCCACCGTGGCGAATCGGAGTATTGAACGAGCCGGAGACCTCATGGTCGATACTCCGTTCGTGCTAACTCTTGTCCTGCTCAGCACATGCCGGCCGCCACGAAGCGTACACACCTCTCGATCGACTGACAGTCGGTGAAAATGACCAAGTTTGTGTAAAAATACTAATACTTTTAACAGAAATTAGCTAGAATATATTTATAGAACAAATTAGAATATATTAATAAAAGAAAAATATATTTATAGTGGAGTCCACAATTTTGGAGTAACCGAAATCTCTGTTGAACCTGACATTTTTCAATAGAATGTTGATAAAGTATTGACATTCAATAAAGGAAAAATAAAAGTATTGACACATACTAAAGGAAAGATATACTTAAAGTGGAGTCGACAATTTTGGAGTAACCGAAATCTATGGTGAACCTGACATTTTTCAATAGAATGTTGATGAAGTATCGACACACTACACTTGGATAAATATAAAATTGTTTTGAACTAAAAAATGAGTAAAGGAAGCAATTAGTACTCAATTTTCAAACAGCCATAACTCCTACAATAGCGAATATATTTCAATGAAATTTTACGGGGAGATAGAGCTCATGGATACCTACAAAAAAGTATTAGACAACATTTCCGTAGGGCGGCAAACAAATTTATTAAAAATAAAATACGAATTTTTAAGAAAAATCGACAAGGATTACCTTTTCTCGGTAAAATTGAAAAGTTTCAAATCTTTCTAAAAAAATTATTTTTAGTTGTAGGGGTCAATCACAATCATTTTTGGTGAATATACATGGCCCTGAAATTCTACGTACTTTCGAGAAAAAAATTCTTTATCGAAAACACAATGTCGGGCCAGAAATGATTTTCTGTAAATCAAACCTTATTGCGAATCAAATTTACCCTTTTAGAGATCAAATTCACCTTGTGGGTGACTCAAAAGTGATACAAAAATAGTAGAATGTCATTTTGTCGTTTTTTTATGGTTTTATTCGCAATTAACGAGTATCAATTTATACTTTGTCGTGTTAAATACGTATTTTATGTCATTTTTTGTTTAAGTATTATTAAGAACACAATAAAATTTTTATTTCGGAATAATAACTTCACATAGAATTTTATTTTTATTACAATTATTTAAGAAAATAAATAATTTAATTTACGAAAGGTGAATTCGATTTGCAATAAGATGAATACGACTATGATCAGATAAATTAATTTAAATGGCGAAACCTGTAACATTCAGAACTCGTACGACGATTTCTTCGTATTGTTTACACCTCTTCGATTTCCCTTATCTGTGTGGTCATCGCGTCTTTTTGGAGTGAAATTTTTTTGTGTCGTCAACAGTTCGAGTGTCGTAATTACTTCAGGGAAGATAGCAGAACTTATATAAAGCGAGGATCGCGAATTGCGTAAAGTGGAAACACTTGATTTCCAACAGATGCATCTCTCAACGAAATTTTACGTCATTGGTATTTCCGGAACTAAAAATCTCAGAACTTTCGATTAATTGGTATCTCCAATTCGCAGCAGGTGTGTGTTGTTGTCGTTTGAACGCGTCTCGTGCGATTGTTAATCTCTTTCCCCTTATCATCCGTGTAGCTACATACTTAGAATTCTTGATTCAAATAGTAGATACTCGAGTCCAAAGTTGGGCAGATTTTATTTTCGAATAACGAATACAAACTTTAGATTTATTTATAAAACTAGTCGGTTAGAGAATCCGTCGATGAATTATATTGTACAAAGTTAGAAATGGTTTTTTAAATAGAAGATAGTTTGATTAAAAATGCAATTAATTGCATTTTTGTTCTTATATTCGTAATTCGAGAGTCAGAAATGAGTACCAACCTATTCATAATATAAAAATTAAAATAATATTTAATCGTGTTAATTAATAATAAAATCATCTGTAATCATCTAATAATCAAAATATCTGAATTGTATGTTTCTCTCATGTTGGAGACGAAATATTACATTACAAATTTATTAAGAGCTTCGACTGCTTCTTCGCTTAATTGTCCAATTGGGACAATAGCGTCTTGAATTATCACTGTACCATGTAATATCTCGTGGACCATAGGAGACATAGAATACTATGAATATAGTCCAATGTACAATTCAACTGTATCCATAGCATACGCTGCGATGTCTTCTCCATTGGTTTCTTATCCACTCGATATGGCCACTCATATAACTTTAAAGTGTTTTAAAATTTTAAATCTGTTTTATCGAAAAAATAAATCTATTCTAAGATTTTTTAAATTCAAGATACTTTTAAGCAATTCCAACCCAACCGTTATAAACACTTTTGTAGTAACAGCTAGTAGCAGTAAAAAATGTGCTCTGGCATAATTTAAGCAGCGTCACATATTTAATTTTAAAAAATAAAGCAATTATAACAACAATATTTTCGGATGATTCAGAGATAGGACATTTTGAAGCTGTGTTGTCATTGCCACAATAAATGAATAATAAAAAAATAGTAAATAGGAAGAAAATCGTATACTAACTGTTAGGGAGATTATTGGAAAGATTTTTTGAAGATTTAAGAGCCGCTTAAATTTTTTTCATATTGTTTACAAAAACCATTCTCAGTTTTCCACTTTTCATCCAGTGTAAAAGAACATTTTAATAAAATTATATTTAAGAATATGAAAGTATAAGGTTTCAAACTTTGAAGCAACTCCACAAACGTTCTTTTACAATCATTTTTTACGTATTCACGGTAGTTCAACTATTTTGAGTGTTTCGATCAAGTGTCTTAAAATTCTTATCATCGATTGTGTGGATACTATTTCAGTACGATGATAAATATCACTATAAATATCATGAAAGATTAGAAAACCAACATTATTGAAATATTTGTCCGATTGATTTACAGATCAAAGATAAGGGAAAGGGGCTCCATTGCATATAAAAACTTTGTAATCCAAATTCTCAGACCTATTTGTAATCAAATTCCTATGAAATAAATTACTTAAGGAATAAATTCTACTTTTTACTAATTTGGGAGCGAAGGGGTTAATCGATCGAGTTTCTATAATTGTTTACAGCGTAAATTCGTTCGTTCTGTTATCAGTCACGTTCCACGGCGTATCGAATCTGACGCAAAACGTGATACAAGTGAATGATTCTAGAATTAATTACATCTTATCGATCGATGGGTACAACTAGGACTTCGCGTCGACGTTAATTTCACCGAATACGATTAACTCGATGAATGTGCTCCGCCAAGCAACGTTACGTCAGATCAATGGCCGTTTTCGTCGACGTTTGTAAACACTGGCCGCTTCTGGTTGACAACTCGAAACGAATTTAAAAAATGGACATTATCACTGGCTGGTTCAATGTCACTGCAGTAACGTATCAATAAGTGTAACTTAATCGTGACTCATGAGAGAATACAACGGGAAAAATGTTCGTCGAATAAACTTACGCGATTCTACGCGAAAAAAACGTGCAATAATTACGAGAATATCGGTTTTGAAAATATGTGATCGCATTGAAAATCAATTTTCTTCAAAGCTCATACGAAAATATTTCATTCCGTGTGTTTGACTCATTTTCTTACAGGAATTCGTTTGATATAGGGCATTCTGAGTATCTTGCAAGAAGACATTTTGTTGTTTCGTGGAACGTTAGCTTCTTCGCGAGCAAATATCGATTTGTCGATGCTGATATCTCGAGATACACAAAGGCAGTGGATCTTATCAGTAAACTTCTTCGGTAGAATATTGCCGTCTTTGTAATAAAGTGTAACACTGCCTGAAGATCAAGATTAGGAGAGGAGTCGCTCGAAGAGGCGACCGCGATCCGCGGTTCCCAAATAAGGTGCCTCGAAGTAGATTAATCGGGGTCAACGTGGCCATTCGCGATTAATCGGGGACGTCAGCAATACCTTCCTTTTCTTTCCCGTCGTTTTCATTCGTCGGTGCTCGAGCCAGGCTCGAACTCGGGCGACGCGATCGAATTCGCGAATTCGAACGCGCGTCGACGTAAAACAGACGAGATTCGACCTCCATGCTATTTTCGAGCGGACAGCGTCGCCGATTCAATGAAAATCGTCTCATATTCTACTTACTTGCCGACACTCCCTTCCTGCATTTAGAACGACGCACGATGAGTTAGAATCGCGATAAAAATAATTAACTGATCTCGATAAAACTGTACAGAGTGTTCGTGTCATTAATAACCAGCATTTTTTTCGTACATGTAATTGTATTCAAAAAATG